GGTGAAAAGTCTAAGAACACTTAGCAACATAATGAGTAGAAACGCTACCTGCGAATCTGAAACATTTCACCGCGTGGCATTTTAACAGCTCTGACAGCCCACTTGCAGCTGCTACTATCTACACATACAACATGTAAAACTTTCTTTGTGGATTTCCTCGTTCTATATTGAAAATAGTTGCTAATAGCCAACATTTTTAAGTGGTAATCCAGCACTTCCTTGCTCTCATATATTGCATCAACAGCTAATGTAGTGGGGTTGAAATGGGATAAGATCTCAAAATCTGGGGACATATACAATACTTCATCAGATGTCACTGGATGAGTGCCACTAGAATAATCAGTGTCTTCTGAATCATAACTTGTCCCATCCATACTAAACGACATTGATGATGAGGTGGAAGTAGTAGATGCAGGTGCGGGTTGAAAAGAAGATGGAGAATGAACTAGAAGCTGATATTTATCAATAAATGAGACAATATTCTCTTCATTGGCAGCTACATTATTCTCAGTAGGCATTGAATTATTGTCATCTGAACTAAAATTCAAAGACATTGACCACGGAGGCTGGGAACCAGATTCAGATATCAATGAAACAGTGTTTACATGATTGACAAGCGCAATGTCCCCAGTAGGCATTGAATGATTGTCATCTAAACTGAAATTCAAAGACATTGACGATGGAAGCTGAGGACTAGATTGAGCATGTGAAATCAAAGGCAAAACAGGATTTGATGTTGCGTTGAGCAAATTGGGGAAAAATTGAACACATAATGGCAACATCACAGCATCTCTATAAAAGGATTTCAGTTGCAAGTAAAATCGAAAACTGGAATCATCATCAATAACAACAGGAGGAGGGCAATGTAACGCCCCAAAATATACCCTAAAATTTATTGAATTAAATATTCAATTAAACAAAATTTGTTTTGATTAAAATAAATTGTTGTTGGGCTTTGGGCTTGAATAAAATATATATTGATATCCAATAAACATAATTAGGATAAATCTCATAGAGATAAATCCAACATGTTGATTTATTGTGTGATCTTGATTGGGAACCTGAGTACAGACCCAAATTAAGAATAAATGAAGAAATTGTTTATAATGTGAACTTTGAAATGATTTATTGAAATAAATCATGTAAATAAATAATATGAATTAAATGTGAGAACCTTTTTGAATAAAGGCCAATTAAACCAATTTTGACTCTGTCAAAGTCAACCACCTAAAAATATGATGTCGGAAAAAGTATAACGAATAAATATAAAATTTTTATCGTTGGATAGAGTTTAATTGCACGATCGCAACGGTGAAAACGGATTTCAATTCGGAGAAAGTTGTACCAAAAAGTGTACCCCGACTGGAACCAAAATTTGTCCCAATCAGAGACGGCGCCTCCTACTCCACTCAGCCGATCGAGGATGCATTCCTACGCAAATCCTACGCAGCAAATGTTGTCACCTTCCACATTCTCTTCCTATATAAGGCCACCATCAACCCTCTCATTCCTCACCAAAAACTAATGAGTTTAGTACCAAAGTGTTCCTGAGAGTGAGGAGAACATGCTGCAATAGTTGGTGGCCACCGAAGTCGCCGGAGTTGGGAGTTATCATCGCCGGAAGTTTCGCCGGAAAATTCTCAAAACCTTCGATAAGCTTCGAGGTAAGCCCGTAGATATATCTAGTGACTAGAATGTTCGTATAGATCGTTTCTACGTTCATAAACGGTCGTTTGATTGAGTTTTGTGTTTGACATGTTTGAAGAACCAAGAATCATAAACCATGAAATTGTTGTTAAAATTACGAATTAATGACTCTAAAATGATCTGTGAACATTGGAGAACATTTTTATATAATTAAATTGAAGTTTGGTGATTAAAAATGATAATGTTAAAACTGACCCGAGGAAGAAGATAATGAACAGTGGCCGAAAATCGATTATTTACTTACTAAAAATCGATTAGAATTTTATTCAGATCAGTGGTTCGAACTCAGTACCATTTAATCGATTATTTATGTTGTAAAAATCGATTATTATGAATTAATTGATTATTTAAATTGTAAAAATCGATTATTATGAATTAATGGATTATTTAAATTGTAAAAATCTATTTTTAATGAATTAATCGATTATTTATATTGTAAAAATCGATTACAATTAATAAATTGATTATTTAAATTGTAAAAATCGATTATTATGAATTAATTGATTATTTATATTGGAAAAATCGATTATTATGAATTAATGGATTATTTAAATTGTAAAAATCGATTTTTTATGAATTAATCGATTATTTATATTGTAAAAATCAATTACAATTAATTAATTGATTATTTAAATTGTAAAAATCGATTATAATGAATTAATTGATTATTTAAATTGTAAAAATCGATTATTATGAATTAATGGATTATTTAAAACTATATAAATCAATTTTTATAAATTAAATGATTACTTTAAATTATTTTCCTCAATTCCAGATCCTGCTACGAAAATATTCCTGAAAATATGCTATAAAATCCTATTTTTGATAACAATTAATTATGAACAATACAAATATGATTTTGTATAATAAAAATGATGTTTTAGGCATATAAAACATTATGTGATGCATGACGGTAAGTTAGAGTGCTAACACTCAAAACTAGACCAATATTTGTTATCAAATGTTATGTTGATTGATGAATATGATGAATGATTATTATGATGATTATGACTTGATGAAACTACTGATTAAAATGATTATTGAAGATTAAATTATGAATTGATATGAATATGTTGATGATTATGAAATTATTTGATTTGTAAGGATATCTAGAAGAACTCTAAGATATACCTAGGTTCACGTTGGTTTCTAAGACTATCGAGAAGACCTCTAAGATGGCTTAGAAATAGGCCTTGCGGGTATAATTATGAATATTCGGTGGCCTGGGTTAAAACGTACGGGATCCATAACCAAACTAGAGGAACTCGTTTGGGGATGCCACCCAACCCGACAGTTAGTATCCTACTGTTCGGTTTTCTGGATTTGTACCTTAAGCGAAGGCTAGTTTAAGAGTTGGTAAATCAATCGGAATATATGTACCTTAAACTAATGACCTAGCTTAAGAGTTGGATAGAAGTACCTTAAACTATAACTAGTTTAAGAGTTGGTAAACATCAAATAGATTGGCCTTAGACTAAGAATAGTTTAAGAATATTATTGAATGAGGATGTTGAATGTTGAATATGAATATTGAATGACGAATGTTGAAAATTGATTATTGTATATTTGAACTGAATACTTTGTGCATGATATCAAATGATTTGATTATGAATTTGGGTTCAATTTATATGGATGTTCGACGCATTAGATATGCTTACTCAGCTTCACCGCTGAGCGTGTAGTATGTTTTATTTGCTACACGCAGGTTAATAGAAAGAATGATGTGACGTGATTCTAGAGGCAGACGGAGGCGAGATTGTCGGAATGGATGTGATGGTTTTGAATTAAAGAACATAAACAAATTATGTTTGTAATTATGATTTGTTAAGATTCCGCAATATTGAAAACTCCGCACTGTATATGTTAAGAAAAATATTATTGTGATAAATAAAAGTGTTTGAAAAGTTTTAAATTTTACGATTACCAAGTTAATACTTTAGTCTGAAAGGGGCTGCAGACCTGGACGGATTAGGGTGTTACAGGCAAACTGGCAACAAATACGAAAATCGAAAATCATATTGCGCACAATCGTCACCAATCGCTACACGAACAGCGTTCATTAGGTCTGCGAAAGAATTTTCATAATGGATTTCCAACTCACAGTTACGTTTAGAATGAAAGGAGGAATCATCACTCCGTTTGCCATCAACATTCAGCAATATATGATATGAAGGAGGTTGAGCAGACATTGATTTGAAAGAGAAGAGTATGATCGATTTGCAGAAAGACGAAGAAGAGAGCGCGCGGCGGAAAATTGAATCGGAGAAGAAGGTGAAATTTAGACGTAAATAAGAGAGGGTAAAATAGGGAGATCGGGTGCAAATTAGTTCCATTTTTGGGGGAAAAAACAAGTGGTACTAAAAGGGGAAAGGCACCAAGTTTTGGTACCATGCGGGGCAAATTTAACATAAAGTATTGGATGAATGTTTCTACCCAGTCCTTATAATAAAATTTAAAAGTTTTTGAGTTCTTTTTAGAAATATTTCATTTAATTCTTTTCAAGTAATTTGATTGTATATGAACTCTTTTTTATTAAGGTCTATTTTTAATATGAACACTTTTATACTTCATATTTGTATTTTTTTGCACGGCATTTTTTTTGTTAATTTGGAAAAGACCATGCATCGTGTATACCACTTGGTATATATTATATACGAGTACAATTTGTACACAATAACTTTGTACTAGCATTTTGATAGTTTAGATTAGTTATTTTGTGATTGTATTAATATTTTGTGTAAATATAAGCTATCAAAGTATTAATGTAAAGGTGTTATTTATAAAACGAAAATGTTCGAGTCGTAAACTTGCTTTTTGTGGATTTTAAATTAAAATATCTTTTAGGAAAAATTTACACCAATACTCCTAGAATTTGCACGGTTTCACATAAATATTCCAAGATTTTTAAAATGACACTAATGCTCCTAAAATTTTCATATAATCACATTGTTGCTCCCAGAATTGAATTTTGTTTACTTCTATGCTCTAAATGTTTTAAACTTCAGTATTTAGTTTCTCGAAGAACATTCAGCTACCAAAGTTGTAATCTTTGTTTTAATGTTAGTAATTTCCAAATTTTCTAACTCTTTGAAAACTTTAATACTCCTCTCAAATGATGAAAAAGAGCTTCTGTAATATTCTCTATAATTTGCTCTGTAGTTGAGTTCAAAACTTTAATAATGATGAAAAACAGCTTCTGTATTTCAATTTGGACTCAAAAAACATGTAGTCCAATCATGTGGTAGGATCAAATGTATTCCATAGTGATGGAAACGAATTTTGTTATGCCAAATGTAACTACTGGCAAAGAATTGATCGACTGAATTGGGATTGATTTCTCTCTTTTTTACCTCAGGGATGTTGGTTATCATTTCCAACAACTGCCCACCCCTCTAGAACTCGGAGATTGAGTATTATGCTATGTTGTCAAAAGTGGGTGTTCACCATTATCGTGGAAGTAAGATTTCGTAAATCTTCCCTTCAAGATTTCCATTCCAAGATTCTTATTACAACTCTTGTTTGATGGCTATGGGCTCTTAAGTCTCTGCCAAAGCTGCGCGTGGAACCATTACTTGCCGTCAAGAAGTTAATTACTTAATTGTTTAAGTCTCTGCCAAAATTGATCAATCCATTTTTTAATCCAGCCAACAATGATTTGGGAACTGCATGTGGAAAATTCCACAAAGTGTGCTGCATGAGCATTATTGACCCTGGTGAGTTTCTGTTTTCTAACCAATGTTTTGTTTTCAGGTGATTCCGACATTCTCAAGAGCATGCCGGGTGACCAGTAATTTTGCTAAGATTGTGTTTTCCGGTCATTGTTTTTCCCCCCTCCAAATCGTGTCATTTTTATTTTAATCTTGGTTCTACAATGCTAGTTTGATGACATGTACCATCACCCCATCCAAGCAGTGTTTTGATATTTGGTTGAAGAATTTTGTTTCTTGGATGAAATGAACTGTGTCTTTCCCTTTAAGTTCTTGAGTGTTTTGTACTCCATGAATGGATGTCCTCCGCCTTCACCTTGGAGGATCTCATGCACGCCATAATGGATGTCCGCAAGGAGCTCCACGCCATGAAGTTATGCGTCGCCGAACTTTCTGCCCAGCCCCAACTGGACGCACGGCTCAACACCAGACAGCCGGTCACAAGTTGGAGACCGCCGCCGTCCCGCACCTCTACATCAACACAAGAGGTAGTACCTCGTATGTGAGTGGACGCGCTGCGGTTTACCGGAGATGATCCCATAGGTTGGGTCTTTCGCATTCAAAAGTATTTCGATTACTTCTGCACACCGAAACCTGAGAGACTTCAACTGGTGGCCATGCTCATCGATCATCTGGCGTGCGAATGGTTTCACTATTATCAGGCCAATAATTGTACAGCTACGTGAGACGATTTTCTATTGGCCATTCAGCAACTTTTTGATTTGCATCATTATGAGAACTACGTCGGGATGCTGTCCAAACTCACCCAAACCACGATGGTAATGGAATACCAGACCGCCTTCGAGGCCCTTCTCAACAATGTGTTGGGGGTCCCGGACTCCACCTTAATTTCCATGTTTGTGGCAGGTTTGAAACAGCCGTTGCAACTGCCAACGGGAGGTTAACCTCCGCAGTCCCACCTCCCTACCCGCTGCCTTCGCCCTCGCTCGGGAACTCTCAGCTTGCTATTCTGAGGCAGTTTTGGCCTATACCCATGGGACACGCCGTGCATGGAATTCCCCATCTCCAGGTCCTACGCCAACGTCCAGTCCCGGTCTTCTTCCTATTCCACGGCCAGCGCAGCCTAAGGCGAAAGCTCCCACTCCTCCGGGTTTACCCATCGTTCGTCTGACCGATGTGGTCAAGGCCGAACGTAACAAGAAAGGGTTATGCTGGTACTATGACGAAAAGTATACCCCGGCCCATAATTGCAGGCGCCGCTTTCTTCTCCTAATGGGGCCAGATGAGGATGAGTCAGAACCAGAACCCCCCCT